ATAACGTAACTTTCAAGTTTAAAACCATAAGTGATGAACAATGTAATTTAGAAATCTGAAAAATAGCCGCTGGGATTCTTAATAATATTTTCATGTTTCCCAATTTCTTACAAGATTACAAGATTATTAATATGTGCCATTTGAGCCGAGCATTTCATGTGACAGAGGTTCAATTGCCGGAGATTGTTACTGTCATGAAGTTATCTTTCCCTATGTGCGTCTTTTGCGGGGCACCGTTGGTCCCGATTTTGTTTTTATGGATGACAATCCACGACCACACAAGACTTATGCTGTTCAGGAGCTTCTGGAAAGAGAAGATATTCACAGAATGGATTAGCTAGTATGCTCCTCTAATTTAAATTCCATTGAACAAATATGGGATACATTAGGCAGACGCCCGGCTGCACGACCTTACCCATCGTAGAACACGAAACAACTGATACAGATGTTCTTTGCAGAATGGGAACACATTTCCCAAGAACTGTTAGATAATCTAGTATTGAGTATCGACAGATGGGGACCATTACAGTTAGGGGAGGTCATATTCTTTACTTAGGCTCTTTGATTTGTTGTTCTTCCTCTTAGCCAAACAGTTTTTCGTACCAACGCCGTTCTCTCTTAAAACCTTTTTCTGTTCGTTCAGTACTGTATGCGTCCTTTCATTTTTTCCAGTTGATGTTTTGCAGAGTTACCGCCAAAATCAGAGAAGTTACTCAAGTTTTACACACTAGTGTATTATCGAAGGAGAAAGCAGATTCCTTAAAAGTATTATTTTTCAAGGGAAAAAAATATTAAAACCATGCAACTGGCAACAGCAGTTTTACAAAGTGAATAGGCTGTATAATGGTTAGCATTGTATGATATCAGAACTGTAGTTGTGCGCATTCCTAAAACGCCTGCACACAAAACATGAAATAGTAATTCAATGACAAAGCCGTTTGCGGGGACTGAAGACTTCCCTACTTTTGAAATAAAAGTTTCAAGAAATGCGGTGCTTTTTATTAGCGAAAAAAAACGCTTTCAAAATTTCCTTCAGATACACTCATATTTGTAAAACATTGCAGCATCGTGAAGAAATAATCAGATTAGAAAGACTTTAAGCCAGGCACTACTCAAAATAATACAATTAAACTGAATTTTTTTGTTGTTGATTTTGTTTGTTGTGGGGGGGCTTATTTTGCTTGTTTTTCCTGTTGAACGGTAAATATTTTCTTATTACCAAACTCAGCGATATTTTTTTTTTTTTATCTAGGACTTCCCTTCGCTACTTGGGACAAAGCAATCTCAACAGAACAGAAGTGATAAAGGGGGCATTAACTCGTATTTTTAATTCAAAACAACTGATAATCCACCAGTGAACTAATTTTATTTAAACTGATGAATTTGGCATGACGATAAGATTTCGAATCCTAAGTTTCGCAATATTTATTGATAAACAAATGTTAAAAAAGTGGGTGATTAAGTAAAGTGGTATGGAAAATAAAGTAGAATTACAATAAAACGGTTATCGATTGCATATTTGCCTTTCTGTTGACTGAAAATGTCCAATTTAAAGACTGGTTAATTCGAATTACGAAAAGTATACCAGGTCTATCTGTCTATGAGGAGTGATGGCAACGAGAAGGATTTTCTAAGGAAATGTGCCCATATCTACGTTTACAGATGGGGAAAACCATAAAAACCACCTTGCAGCACAACCGTTCACAGTGTTGTCAGATCATATGATTTTTCGCAAATTTGCTACTTTGGACAAAATTTTGCGGCTAAAATTTATGTGTATGCGATTTTGCGAAATTTTTTCTACTCTAGCAATTTATTGTGCTACTTTTTGAGATTTCAAAAATTTTAATTATATGGTAAAAACTTTATAAGTTAAAATAATGTGTCTGATAAAATAAGTGTAAACGAGTTATTTAAGCTTAAATAGAAGTTCGCGTCTGGCAATCCTGAGATCACAGAGCAGGTGCAACTAGTTTTCAACTCCAATATTTGATGTTTTCACGTGCTTAATTGATTAATTTATTTAATCTTTAAAGTTTACCAATAAGCCAATGTAGCTGTCATATGGGTACTTTCAACCAAAACGTTGATCAAAACCATACAACGAAATAAATTGTGTTTGGAACTCTTAGATTCTATACTTCGAACGAAGATGTCAGTGGAACATTGGATTTTTCCTTATTAAAATTCTGTAACAAAAAATTCAGTTTTAAATACAAAAGGCAACTTTTATTTACTTATTTAGCATATCCGTCTGTAATTTTTCTCTTTTTGTATGCCAAGAAATTCTGCTCAGGAAGAGGAGATTATATAGTTTTAATAGTACATATTGGTTTTTTACATATATATATTTGTGTATGTGTGTGCGTGTAAAAAAACAATATATACTCGTGTTATTTTCCTTTTGTGTAAAGGGCAGTTAAATAATTTTCGTTTGAACTCAAGCAGCAAATATGATATTGTATTATTGATAGACAGGAGAATTCTATAAAAATATCAGTAACGAAAAAATATTGCAAGAAATATAAAACAGAATTATACTATAATACTAATATTGATGATTTTATTACTTTACAGAAATTACTTTAAGCCAATTTTTCCCCAATTCTATGGTGATAACGAAGCGATTTGTAGTCTAAGTGCCATACATTGGTTACTCAAACAGAAAAAGAAATGAAATTAATTTTCCTATTATAATACGTATTATTCAGGATTAAACAATCGAGGTGACTTTGAAAATCAAAGCAAAATCAGTTTTCTAAATAACAACACAAAGAAATTTAACTTCGAGAAGAACGAGAATTTTATTAGTAATCAGAATCTGATAAAAATAAACAAATCAACCAAGCAGAAAGGAAAATTCACTGAAAAGCATTAACACTTAAAATAAAGCGAAAAATAATGAATTAGGTAAATGAACTGCTAACTCAAATAAATTACTACAAACACGCTAACAATCTAAACGTGAGGAAGCATTTAACAATGGATATGAACAAATTAATTTAAATATAAAAACTTAAATCATCTGAGAATTAATTAAAAGAAAAAAATTAATGTTTAAGCTTTGGATATAAGGAAAACTCTTCATCAAAAGTAAGATACGTAATTAAATTGACTAAGAATCGAATTAGAGAACGTAACTTACGGAACCAATGGAGACTGAACTTGTGATGACGTCAGAATTCATGTGAACATGCGCAACTATGACATCACAAAAATCACGTGATTTCTGACTTCATGTGCTACGTTTTTCGACTTTTTGATTCTTCTGCTAATTAAGCTGAAAAATTTCTGGCAACACTAGATTAGAATCCGGATCAACTAGCTGTGTTCAGCGGTCTTATCCGTATAGTCTGTTGACTGCCTCTTGGTTTTCCAGAAACATAAACTACATAGCGTTAAAGCGAATACGAGCCAATAATTCTTAACATACCCCATTCGAGAATTCCTTGGATGGTTCCGAGGCATTAACGTTTTTTGATCTCTACTTGGCATGGTGCTCTTAGCCTGTTGGCTGTAAATAGAAATATAAGCGCTACTGCGCTACTTAGATCAATATTTAGGTAAAAAAAAAAACATGCAGTTTTTATTCCCGACATGAAAAAGCCCCCTCCTCAAGCAAAACAATTTCTCTTTGGGCAGATAGTGCTCAAATGCTTTCCTTTAATTAAAATCAACGAATCACTTTGAGCGTTGGCCCATATATTAGAGCCCTTGTGTTAAACAAATATAATAGTGACAAGTATTCACAATTATTATTCTTTCTGTAAATTTGATCATCATATTCTTTAATATCAGCAGGAACTGATTACTGTCCAAGCACCAACAAGTGGCGAACCTACATATTCAGATCCTAAAAACTCCCGAAATCATGCAATAATTGTATAGTTATGTTATATAATTTTAACAACTAAAGCTTATTAATGCCTAATTATAAAAAATTGAATTTAACTTGAAAGAATTATTTCATATTTGTAAAACGATGATATCCTGAAAAATGCGACATTCGTGGCTTTTCTTAAGAGAAAAGTAAGATTGTATACCCCATGTGCCTACAGCCCTAAGTTGTCTTTTTCGGGCCCAGTCTACCAGACGTAAGTGCAAACATTTGTATTTGACAGAATCATAAAATACCTTAAATCAGCGATTTTCAACCGGTGGTACGCAAGAGAAAGACAGATATTTTTAACGCAAAGAAAAAAAGTATTTTTAACTATTAAATCCAAAATTCTCGTGAAGAAAAAGAACACTTGATAGAACTTTTCTGTGATCGAACTCTAACTAAAGATTTCTAGAATGACACACTCGTTAAATTTTGGCTGATCCGAAAAAGAGAATTTAAAGGCATTTTAAATAAAACTATTAAATTTTTATTACCTGTTTGCATTTTGTTATTTTGCGCGAAGTATTTTTGTGAACAAAAATTTTCTTCCATGTTATATTTGAAAAATAGATATAGAACAAAATTAAAAGTGGATCCTAATTTACGATTCAAACTAAATGAAATAAGACCAGACAAAAAGGAACAGATATCTCTTAGACAGGCCCAAATTTCGCACTAAATATATAATTAGAGTATTATAACTTAAATTCTGAGAATTAAAATGGCAACCATTTTTTAATATTTATAATATATTTAATATTTTTATATAATATATAATTCTAATATTTTTTATGTTTTTTATCTAATATTTTTTATGTGCACATTTAATACAAATAGCCATAGGTTGTGCAGATGGCAAATATTTATATATCTTTTAATATTTTTTATTGAGAAACTGAAAATTACTGATTTTAAAATGTAGTGGTAGTGTAAAAATTTTTCAATTTTTGTTTAGATGGTACGCGTTAGTCAAAAGATTGAGAACCGCTGCTTTAAATTATCATATTTCGCGCCACACGTACTAAGTAGCAGTCTCTTGGCGACAGCATATGTTATTGGCGACTGAATGAAAATGAAATTTATTTTAGCAACCCTATTTGCTCTCCAACACCCGGATTCAAAAGAATCGCGTTTTTCCCCGGCACATCTCTGCTTCATGCAGATAAAAGCGCGCAATCACCTCTGATCTTTCATACCTCGTAGATTGTCTTAAGGTTTGCGTTTGAAAACCATTAACTTGAGAAAGTGAAGTATCAGACACCAGAGAATTTTCGAGGTGGTAAGTTTATTTTATTCGTTAATCCTTTTAAAATCCTTAATAATGCAATTAACCAGTATTCTAACTTTTCATTTTATTATTTTTTAGTTGCTATTAGTTTAATCTCCCGCTTAGAAGTTTTTCATCGTTTTACAAATCCATTAAATATCATCGTTTAACAAATATCCTTAAAATATTAATTTTATAGGATTTCATTTACTATATTATAATAAACTCTAAAAAAAATAAGTCTTAATTGAAAAATTGTTAAAACCATTTTTCAATTAAGACTTATTTTTTTTAGTCATTTTAAGAAGTGCAGTAGTTGTTCGGTTGCATTAATCTGGAGTTTGACAAACTTTAGGCCTCAGTATTTCAAAATTTCTTGCAGTTTATTAACTTTAGTTTGTCATTTCAAGGCCATGTGTTTTCTGAAACGAAGAGAAATGTTGTTCAACTCTAGTATGTGATTTGTAAAAAGGTAATCTTTTCTGGCCCTGAGCTTAGTTTTCATTAGATGAAAATTTTGAATACTATTTAATTCAAACATTTAAGACTAGAATGATAAATTTTCATTTTTTATAACTTGTGCCTCATGACTTGGGCACCTTCGTTTTCTTAAACTGCTAGTGTTCTTGCACCCAAGTTTTCTTTGTAAAATGTCTACTAGTGTTTGTTAATTTATGGAACTTTAACCGCTATAAACGTTCTTGAAAAGTGTAATTGCTTATTTCAGGGTTAAAAACTGTTTTTATATGGACTTCTGTTTAAAATTTATGCTTAACCAAAGTCTGCTTTTTAAAAATAGATAAAGTAAACTGTAAAATACTAAAGACATAACTTTATCTCATTGCGGTATCGAAATACTAGAACCGGCATCATTAAGATTAAACTGCAAACAGTAACTTCTTACTCTATTTGCCTCGCGTAATTTCATCGCCGAATAATGTCAATATATGAAATTTAAATTCCTTTTTTAGATGGTAATCCGTGAGATATATCTGACTTTGTAGACTTTCAAGATTAAAAAAAAAAAAGTCTCAGCTTTCTAAGAAAATTGCAGAAATTCGTTTGCTAACTGAAAAGATCTGTATTATTCCTTTACCGACATTTTTCGCAAGATTTGCTTAGAAATCCAAAGACGTATTTAAAATGTCGCAATTGTTACGCCCTGCATATTGTTTTTATGTCGAAATATTAGACGAAGTTTTAGATAAATTAAAAAAAAAACTTTTTGGATATTATAGAAAATTCTGTTACTCACGATTCGTTCGCCAAAATTTGTAGTATTTGTTTACGCAAGTAAGAATCCGCCACCCTTGGTAACAAAAGTACGAAGCAGTCTTTCGAATATTCTCAAAATTTATTGTCACATGCGTCTAATTATGGGAAAGCACGCGCAAGCTGTTCGTAAATGTCATCTTCGGGAGACAATAGGGAGAGAGAAAAATTACTGAAAGCTTCCTTTAATGCATTAATTTAATGTTCCTTTAATTTTTCTTTAATACATTATTTTAAAAACTGTGTCATATAAAGAATTTTAAGGAATTAAAATTTATTATGTGCTGTTTTAGCGTTATCGCATTCTTTCTATAACATCGTAAAAATTAGTATAGAGACAATTTTAAATTAAACTTAATATATTTGTTATAGCACGATTATCTTCATGTATATCAAATCATAAATTGTTGCAAATATATGATATGAACTGAGGTGTCTGGTTAAATTTAAATAAGAAGAAACTAGAGATTAAACACCGAAAATAATCGCGGTCTTTATTTAAAAAATAGCACCTGCTTTATTATTTTTAACTGAAGGGGGAAAACTAAGCTTTCATTCAAAGCTTAAAGCCTTTTTATGAATGAAAATGCTGTTCTTTTAAAAGATTATTCGGAATCTGGTATTGCAGCTGGTCATCCCCGGGTTTAGTCACTTCCCGCTAAATTTGGCTGTTCTTATGTTCTATCTAATGGGCATAGTTTCTTTTACCCTTCGAAAGTCCTGCGGCCTGGTTTAGTACATGTATAACCTTAATCTCAAACATCGCATACGTAGGAAAACAAGTGATAGTTAAATATAGTTTTCTTCTGATTTCTTTTCTTAAACGCATCTTGAAAATAGTGTGCATAATAACATTCTCGTTGCCTATATTTGGGAACACTGTGCACATTATCTCTAATTATAATTACCAGCAGCCGAGTGACCAAAGCTATGAAACAATGTGAGTTCATCTCGTTCCTATTCCCGACGGAGTCCACTAGTATCCGACTGGTAAAACTACTGAATTCTAGAATTGGTTTAATCCTAGTATCCGGTACACACGGGATTTGGCTACTTTTGGCGACTTTATGATGAGCAGTAAAAAACGGGACATATACGATGAGTAGTTAACGAGTCATTCAAAGAAAATATGTAGTTAAACATAGTATATACTATGTGTGTATATACATATACTATGTGTGTATATATATATATAGACGTTCTTTGGATCATTTTTGGTGTTAATTTTCAAAGTCGCGCCAAGGCTGCACCGTATACTAGAATTTTACCCTAGAATTTTGTCCCCGGCTGGAATTCCAGCGGCTGGGCTACGAATGGATGTTTTTGTATTTACCCGCCCACCACCGACCGGATCATGTTCAAAACGTGCAGTTAACGTTGCTATTTTTGAGTCGTGAAGTGAATTGAATTATTTAATTGTCCGGAATTAATAATAAATTTCACATGACATGAGCGTGCAGAATTAGTGTTTCATTAATATATTGTGCATATTAAAACTTACTATAATTTTATTTTGGAGGGAAAAATGTTTTTTTTTTTTTTTTTTCTTCAAATAATTGTCTTAATTTAATTACTAGAAAGGGCGATGAACACTCTCACCGTTTCTCTTACTCAGTCTGTTGTAAATCTAGGTCACCATCGAAGCCGCAGCTGGATGTGGGTCATAAATTGTTGATTAAATCTAGAAATTCTACAAAGTCCTTTGAACTAGTCAGTTTACAATACCGGTGCTTTTCGGAGGAGGTGTGTAGGGGGAGTCGTTTGAAAATAAATAGAAATACTAAGTTTATTATTTGTTCATTTTGCTGTTTATAGAACATAAAAAATGGCAATAGAGGAACGTACTTATTTTCATTCGTTTTAGAATATTTATTTAATGTTTTAAAAGATTGAGCTTTTTGAATAAATCATGTTTGCTAGAACAGAAGCATAGACAGGGCTCGATTAACATAGCCTGAGAGTCTAGCTATTTTAGAAATAATGAATGATTCGAAGACTTCCAAATATTTGGATAGTTTTCCGTTCTGTGCCCTCCTTTTTTCAACCAGCATTTACTCAGGAACCATACTACCAATATCTGTAAGTAAGCATGGCTCCATTCCTGTTGCATTAGCAGTATTTAACAGTAAAAAGAATCATGCAGTGGAAACTATTATAACGATCAGCTTTCGTAGATGATTACTCCTGAAAGTGACCATATTTTTCTTTGAACAGAAGTCATTATTAAACACTAAAGTGATTTTTTTTTCCTCTGAAGACTCAAATAAGATTTCTGCTTGTTTACGTACATTAAATCTTTATCAAGAACTGTTTGCAAACTGGTTTAGTTTCCTAGGCTTGAAATAATATGAACTGCAAGTCACAGTAATATTGAACTCCTTTAGATTTATCAATAAACTTTTAAAAAAAACCATTCCTTTCAACAGAGGGGTATTCATTAAAATTATGTATTTTATCACTAGTCACACTTGTAATTACTTCAAAAAAAGTAACGAATTCCTTTTGAGTTGCCTCCATCTTTAAGTATATTTGACTTCCATTAAATCACGTACTACTAACCGTAATCAGAGGATCATTGTCTTGTAATAAGTGTATCAGGACTCCAGAGTGATGATTTTTTTTTCAACATCTTTGACTTTTCAAAGGATTTGCAGAGATCCTTTTTAACAACCTTTTTGTATTTTAAATTTTAGTAATAAAATTACGTGTAACATAGAGCTGCTTTTTGTGGATAGGTTACTCTTTCTCTAGAATATTATAAATTTAACCTTCAAGAAATTGGCCAAATTTTTATGATCCTAGAGGGCTGAGAACTAATTTTTGCGATATTTGTTTATTTGAAAGTGATGTTTTTGGATATTCATGCCTCATCCCAGCGACTGAATTTTGGCTAGGAACTGAATTTCGAAAGGGGTAGCTGCGTTCTAGCTGATGGCAGTCTAGCTGATAATTGTTCATTTATTTCCAGCGGATACTTGCTATCCGTAATATAAAATCGGTATTGAACATATTTTACCTTATAATAAATTAATTGAATTTTTTAATTTATATTTGGAAAATGTTCAACAAATAGTATTTTATTTATGGGCCCGTAGATGCCGACTTTTCCAGTTATTCACAAAGAAAAGGTTGTCATTAATTTTGCTCTGTTAACTATCAGCCAGTATGCTTACCGTCCAGGCCCCCACCACTGGTCGAGTGTTTAAGACCGCTGAATACTGGAAGTTCGACCGGGCTTTGAAATCAGGTGAACGGGCAGGCTGCAAAGATACTTTTCTGGTTTCACCTATGTGTATCGTGAATACAAGCCATTTTCCCTCAAAACGTCATTCACGAAGGCATCCTTTCACTTAGTTAATTACCGTATGCTTTACCATTTATCTATATAATTTACCCAACTTTATCCTCCCGCTTATTCGGGATACTAGCTCACCAGCGAGCGAGCGGTGAAGTCGCTTGGCACTGGTAGTTTAACTCTGGTTCAAACCCCGGCGAACGGGCTGTCTGCATGGATATTTCTGTGGTTTTCCCTCATGTATAATGTAGATCCTTTGAAAACCCTCTGCGAAGGCATCTCTCCCCATAGGCAGATAGCCCTCGAATTGCTTTGCTTTAGCCCAGGGTTTCTTAAACTTTTTCCAGTCGCGACCCCTTTTATCACTGAGATTTTTTCGCGACCCCCATAATATTTACAAAAACTTTGTGAGACCCCCCCCCCCATAAGTATTACGCAAATCCGA